TGTTCTTCCCTTTCTGCACAATGCACTCCTCTCTCCAGACAAAATCTAGGCTTCACTGGGAATTGTGGATGCTTAACACCTCTGAAAACCAGGCCACTTTTATTAAAGTGACTGTGGTCCAGCTCCAACTGAAGCCGGTAAGAGTCTTCTCATTGATTTCAGTGGGAGCTGGATTAGGCTACACATATACAATTTCTCTCTCTCTCTCTCTGTGTATATAAACTTAAAATTTTGGCTCTTTTTTTTTAAATCTTCTCTACAGATGTAGAATGTATTGCTCGTGGCTTATTTTTGCAGTTTTAAAATCTATTATACAATGTTTTATATTAAATCATTCTAAAGCTATAACAAACTTGACTAAAGCAAAATGTACGAAGATATGGAGTGATGCTGTTTGCACAGATAGGAATTTTGATTTCCAGACTGTAAAAATTCTCTTCAGGTTGACGACTGGCACAGAAAATCTGATGTGAAGATCAGAAAATTGGCTGGAGCAAGGGTTGAAATGGGTAATGGGATTATGGTGATTCTGCATTTTCTACTCACACCAAATTACAAAGCATAAAGCAAAAACTAATATATATTAATACTGAAAACCATCTTTCCTCACAAATGTCATTCAGACATATTTAAAAATTCTAATATCATGGTAACAAAGTATATTTAGTCTTGGAAAAGTGAATTTAAAAGATATATAATTAATTTAAAGGAATCTTGTCTTTCCAATGACATTCTAGTGATTAAATTCTGAAATGGTTTCCTGTGTTGGATTTCCATTAAAGTCAATGGGAAATCTTCCCCTAGACCATTTGCAGGTCTGGGGCTCATATTTTTAACCTGTCCCTGGCAGGTCACATGATATCTTGATAAATAGGAAAGGTATTTTAGAGTTTTTGGACTTTGAAAAATTAAGCCTCCAAGCCCACAGATAAATGCTTATCTTTATGCAGGTGAATAGTTCCATTGATGTCAAATGACAGAAGCAGAAGTCACTGGGACTGTTCATGCACATAAAGCCAAGCACATATGTAAGTGTTTGCAGAAACGGAGCCTTATTCTAATATTTCAGCCACTGTGAAATCTGTCTATGGTAACTAAAGTAATCTTACTGCAGAGGCAGAGGGATGCAAAAAAAAAATTGCAACCAGGAAATATTGTAAAGCTTTAAATGACAATCCAATATCTTTTTATTTTTATTTAAAATGTGCATGTGGGGAAATGAACAATGTTGTTTGGTGTTAAAAATGGTTTTATTGGACAGGTTTGTGATGATCTACAATAACTCATTTGTGGCTTCTGCCAGGATAAACAATATATTCAAACAACTAGTTACCTTATAAACAAATAAATTATTCCAGTAGCCCCTGGATTTCATGTAATCCTCTTTGTCCTGAATTCCCCTTTTACCAGCCTTCGGTATGGATATGTTATATTCTTTTATGGGGATTTTGCCTTATATGCCCTTGTAGTACAATACAGGATAGTGAGCAGATATTGCAAACTCATGCCAAAAAAACTGTTTACCACCACACATCACCATGTACAGTAAACACGCGTGCGCTCTCTCTCTGTCACACACAGAGTTTTTTATAATTCTGTATTTCAAAGTGCAGTATGTCATTACTTTAATACCATGTATTATTTCTTTTCCCTCACAATTGCATACATTTTTAGACTTAGGTGCCCTATTTTAGGCACCCAAATCCATATTTGGGGACATATAAAAGTAGTCTGATTTTCAGAGGTGGTGGGATGCAGTTCCTAATGATAGTCATAGTGTTTGATGATATAGTATTTCATTACAGAAGACAGCATCACATAAGTGTGTGTGGAAGGGGATTTTCCTTCTGCACTTAGATTTTCTTGCTATCAGTGTAGAGAGAGAACCCTCTTTAGTGGCTCTATATACCTATATGTATGTTTGTTTATTTATTTAGATACATGTACTATGGTCCCAATTTAGGAAAGCATACCTATACAGGACAGCACTGAGCATAAGCTGAAATGCTGTACTACACAGGGATGGATTTAAGCATATGCTCAAGTGTTTTCCTGAATCAGGGCCTATAAAAAGAGCACCAACCATCCATCTGCTCTAAGACCCTGTGATAAATGAAGTATATGTGTGTGTGGGTGGGGGGGGGGGGACGACTCCCTTTTATGGACACCCCGCCAGCCAGTTAGCTACAAAATCCTTGTTAGTAGCTGTTCTCTACCTGTTTTACCTGTAAAGGGTTAAAAAAAAGCCCATAGGTAAAAGGAAGGGAGTGGGCACCTGACCAAAAGAGCCAATGGGAAGGCTAGAACTTTTTAAAATTGGGAAAAAGCTTTCCATTTGTCTGTCTGTTGTTCTCCGGAGGGAGGAGACGCAGAGCAGCAATGCTGTAAGAAGCTTTAAACCAGGTATGAAAAAATCATCAAATCACACATCGAAACTACTTATCTGAAACCCAGATATGTAAGTAGATCAGGGAATGTCTAGGAAGACATGATTAGGTTTATCTCTTATTTCTTTATGGCTTGTGGACTTCTCTGTGCTAACCCCAGGGACGTTTGTTTTGCTTGTAACCTTTAAGCTGGACCTCAAGAAAACCATTCTTCATGCTTAATTATTATATTTGCTCTTTTTAAATCTAGCAATAGCCTAAGTTCCAGATGTATTTTCTTTCTTTTTTGTTTTTAATAAAATTTACCTTTTTTTAAGAACAGGATGGGTTTTTTGTCCTAAGAGGTTTGTGCACATGTTTTTTAATTAGCTGGTGGCAACAGCTGATTTCCTTTGTTTTTTTTCTCAGCTTTTCCCGGGGGGTGGGGGGGAGGAGTTAAAAGGGCTTGAAGGTACCCCACAGGGAGGAATTCCCAAGTGCGCCTTCCTAGGTCCAAGGGTTTTTTTTACACTTGGGTGGTGGCAGCAGCCACCCCTCCAAGGTCAGAGAGAAGCTGTAACCTTGGGAGTTTAATACCAGCTTGGAGTGGCCAGTATTAATTTTTAGAATTCTTGCTGGCCCCCACCTTCTGCAATCAAAGTGCTAGAGTGGGGAATCAGCCTTGACAGACCCCTTGAGATAACATAAAATACAAAAAATAAAAAAATAAAAAAAAAATGCACTCCATTATAACTAGACTGCAGTAATTCCAGCCCTTATAAGCATCCCCAACTAGCAAACCAGGCAAATTAACAGTTGATATTATCTTTCCTCTTCAACAGTAAATCACCCTCACAAGTCTCCCCTGCCCATTTCAAATGTTCAGGGGGAAAAAAGATGAGCTCTGCAACATGTCTTAAAGGCCATTAGATTCAGCCTAGCCCGGAGCAAGGTGGGGAGTAAGTTCTAATGCAGAAGGGTCCTAATTCAATCGGATTCCAGCTCTAGTGCTTCTGCTTATCTCAATTGCAGCTCTGTACCATGGTGAGAGAAGAGATCTCTTGGACAGATCAATTTAGTGTATGTCTACACAGCACACTAAGCCTCGGCTGAGACTCAGGTTAGAGCCCAAGTTCAACCCCCCCTTCCGTCCACATAGAAATTAGTCTGATGACATATTTAGTCCAATAGACTAATTTTTTAATCATTGGAAGGAGTTATTCATGTTTCTTGGTGACATATTTAAACCAAATCATTCTGCCATGTGGAACACCCAAGGCTACATATAAAATTAGTTAAGTGGATAAGAATTGCAAGCTTCCACAGTGAAGTAGCATCTGAGCTGACTTCACAGAAATAAGGGCAAAGAGTAGGGCAGAAGTACTGCTAGAAATAAAGTGTTAAAAAGTGGCAAAAATGAACAAGCTAAAATTTGTAATTTAATTACAAAACACTGTACTTTTTGAATTCACTTAAATGGTTGCAATCTGTGGGATGGGAATGAGTTAGGCGCCTGACTCACTCCACACAAAATGATGCCAGGAGGAGGACGAGGTGGCCTATTTAAGTATTTATCCACAGTGGAACAGCCATTGGGCCAGAGAGAATGATTCTGCAGTCCAGTGGTTAGGGCATCCACCTGGGACGCTGGGGACCCGGGGTCCAGTTCCCCCACTCCAATCACTCTTTCATTATTTATCCACAATGGAACAGCTTCAATTGGAGAGATCGAGGGAGCCCCAACATCAGAAAATCCCATAGCTTAGTGGCTAGACCACTTTTCTAATAGGTGGGAAACTCCTGTTCAAAACCTCTCTCTCCATCTAGAAGAGGGGAGAATTGAACCTGGGCCTCCCATAGCCACAGTGGAGCCAAAACTGGGATGTAGGCACCTAAAGGCACCATAGGATGAGAGAAATTAGGTGCCTAAATCAGGGGTTTAGGCAACTAAGTACCTTTGTGGTTCTGAGTTTAAGTGCTTGGCTGAATTATTGCCTTTGTGCTCTTTACACAGAAAACAGAACAAACTGAAGGAGAGGTTAGACAACTGACAAATACGTAATAGGCAATGTGTATTTGTTGCCTTACTTAAATGGGATGACATAAAGCAATGAAATTTCATTCTTGAGTGTGAATGTTATTTTTCTTGTCACATTTGTGAAGTATCCAGGTCATGAATATTATGGATTTTCAGATATGCCATAGGAATCTGTGGTGCCCTGTGTTCTAAGCAATCCAAAGCAATGTAAATGATTTCCCTTTCCACAATAGTTAATCCAGCAGTGACTCAACCAGAATGTTGATATCAAAAGCCAACATGGGGTCATTCCATTTTTCTTCATTATGTCCTTGTTATCAAGAGAAGAGTGATTGCCATATACTGCTATAATTTATCCTTCAGCTACTTTACGTACGTTTAATTTTTAACTCTCATTAGATGATTTTTACAATTATTCAAAGTGGCAAACCTAAGTAAAATTAAAACAGAAGTATGAAGGCCTGATTTGGATCTCATTAGGTAAACCACGAGTTAACGCCATTGAAGTTACTGGTATTATAACATTATAAGATCAGGCCATAAGACTGTACTTACAGTATTTTCAATTTAAAGTTGAGTAGACAAGTATCTCTTACCTTTATCATAGATTTCCTTCAAGACTCCTCGTTTTATCAGCTCCTCTCTGCTTTGCCTCATTGATATTTTTCTTTCAAGAGCTACAGTGTAAGGACAAAAGTATGATTAAATACAAAAATAAACGCCAAGGCAATTTTGAAAGGTCGTGTGCCTTTTATAGCATTTATTTTTACTCTCTGGGCCAAATCTTTGTCCCATTGAAGTCAATGGCAAAAGTCCCATTAGTATCTGAAAACCAAGAGAGCCACAACACTGTAGATTTCCGCTTGTTGTTGTAACATGACTGTTGATACAAATGGATACAGACTGATTTATTGAGGTGCACTTCTGTACTCTCACTGCTTCTTCAAACACATGAGCCAAGTGTTTTGGGGAGAATTAGAAAGGATGAGGAGAATGGGGTATAATTCACATGCGGGGGGGGGGGAGGAGGGAGGGAAGACGAAAGAGATTTGAAGGAGCACTGTCAGTGAATGGCATTTGGCCGTGAAACCTTCCCATGCCAGATCAGGATGAGCTCATGCCTTACCTCCTATAAAGGGCCTGAACCTGCACCTTTGAAGACAATGGGAATTTTGTCATTAACTTCAGCGGGAATAAATTCAGACCCTTAGGGCACAATGCAAGACACATCTGAAGAGGCCTTTCCTCAAAGGATGCAGTGACATTTATGCTGGCAAGTCCCCTTCCTCCTATAGATTTCTTCCCAAAGAAAGGAGTCTTGTGAAATACACCCCTCATGAATCAGAGGGGTAGCAGTGTTAGACTGTATCCACAAAAACAACGAGGAGTCCGGTGGCATCTTAAAGACTAACAGATTGATTTGGGCATAAGCTTTCATGGGTAAAAAATGCACTTCTTCAGATGCATGGAGTGAAAATTACAGATGCAGGCATAAATATACTGACACATGAAGAGAAGGGAGTTACACATGAACGGGGAGTGGAGAATATGCTATGTTCAGGATGACAGAGAGCCATGTCCTCATCTGGTGTAAGTCAGAGAACTTCCATTAAAGTCAATAAAGCTCCCCTTATCTACACCAGCTAAGGTTCTGCCCAAACACGTTATAATTCTTATTTTGGTGCCTAGATACCATGGTGATCAGGGCACCAGAAGGACAGATGAACTAATCAAACAGCATAATTCTAACAGCAATTTTAAAGCAATGTCCAGTTAACCAAAACATCAAAAAGTAATTGGCCTTATCTGTCCATTCAGGCATGTATCAGAGAGTGAGCAAGGGGTGCATGAAATAATGCATAGGGTTTGCTGAGATTTTGTGTGCTCTGTGAGAAACCAAGGCGTAGCTTGCCAAAAAGGAAGCACAGTCAAGGGCAAATCCCTAGTGCCATATGCTCTCCTGTCAGCTGCAGCACACAAAAAATGAACCAGGAGGAAGCAACTTCAAGCTGCACAGGACAGATTTAAAGTGAAAGAGGCCCTGAAATGACTTTTTCCTCCCCTCCAAACAAGAGAACATAACCACTGGTTGTGCTGCTGCAAGTTCTCTGTTCCTCAAGTCAGGAGACACTGAGTACCTGGAGGATGGGCGAGATTTATATTGACATCATGCAACTTGTTTCCTATTAGATATATACTGTGTGATGATCAGTTTTAAGATACTAAGGCCTGGGCCCTGGTGTCTATTATAACTCTGCTTATAAAAGGTCTTGTGTCTGATGGAAGTAATTAGATTTTTAGATTTGATTAAATATTTCTAAAGATAAAAAAATAAAAACAAGTAGTCAACATCTAATGTTTCACAAAACATTATGAACAGCTGTATATATTAAATACACTTGCATTTCCTCACACACTGAAATCCCAGAATGATCATCATATCATCTTGAACATGTCCAATTGACCTCTAATGTCAATTAGTGCTTAAGGGCTGTTCTCCATACCGGAATAGAAGGGTTCAGACCCAATGCCCAATCATCTTCTATAGTATTATGTTTATATGTATGTTCCAGATGATATTATCTTCTGCTTTGATCACCCTCTACATTTAACATAACAAATCTCTTACAAGAGACCTAATAGCTATACAATATGGATAACATTTTCAAAAGTGACGTCGATATTTAGGAGCCTACGTCCCACTGACTTTCAGTGAGATTTAGACTCTTAAGTACCTAAGACACTTTTGAAATGAGCCTTAGGGTACATCTACACTTCGAGCTGGAGGAATAAATTCCAGCTCAAGGAGACATACCAGTGCTAGCTCTGATCAAACTAGCATGCTAAAAATAGAATATAGCCGTGGAAAGAGGGGCTAGCCACCTTGAGTACATGCACAGCATCTTTGACTGGTATGTTCTCAGGACAGCAAGTCACTCGGCCACTGCTTGCGCTGTTGTGGTTACTCTATTTTTGGTGCACTAACTTGATCAGAGTTAGCGAGAGTATGTCTCCTCGAGCTGGAATTTACATTTGCAGCTCAAAGTGTAAACATACCCTTAGTCACTTTGGCCCTTTGGAAAATTTTACACTTTGTGCATTTTGCTGAGTATCGGGTCTAAATAAGCTGTAACACACATCTTGCTATCAAGGGCTTTGCATTTTTGAAAGCCTGGTTATTTGTCTTGATTATCTGACAAGACAGTGAACAGTAAATGAAGCCCAAATAGACCAACAAGCACCAGAAAATGATTACACAGGGTAAAAAAAGTAATTCAATAGATCCCATAGGAAGCATCAAGAAGCCAAAATAACAGTTCAACAGGTTCTCTAATGATGAACTGTTAACAACTACCAGAACAATAAAAACAGCAAACTGAACTTTGTAAGATACATGAAGCATGGAGAGGCTTCCCAGCTGCTAGAAGAGAGGAACTGTGGGACAGTTGGGTCTTTTATCCCCTTGGGGTGATAGGCAGTTTTGCAATTGACTTCAATGGGCCCAGGAGTTCACCCTTGGACTCTAAGAAGGGTAGGGTGACCAGATGGCAAATGTGAAAAATTAGGACGGGGATGGGGGGGTTATCAGTGCCTAAAAGCCCCAAATATCTGGACTGTCCCTATAAAATCGGGACATCTGGTCACCCTAAAGGAGGGTAGCTCAGTGCTTTGAGCATTGGCCTGCTAAACCCAGGGTTGTGAGTTCAATCCTTGAGGGAGCCACTTAGGGATCTGGGGCAAAATCAGTATTTGGTCCTGCTAGTGAAAGCAGTGGGCTGGACTCTATGACCTTTCAGGGTCCCTTCCAGTTCTATGAGATAGGTATATCTCTCTACAGGAAACCAAGTTGGAAGAAATATCACCAAAATAACAACACCTGCTTACAGGCAGCAACACTGTTCACTGAATGGAGATACTGAGTGCGTCAAGTATTGCTAAAAGATATTTTGAAAATTAATATACTAAACTGTACCTTAGGCAGCTAGAAAACCAATGCATATTTTATCTATACACACAGGAATATGTGTGTGCACATGCACAGTACATATGGACCAAATTATTCATTCTCTCTCTCTCTCACACACCCCTATTTAGTCCACTCCTATATAGTTCACTACATAAGGTATTACAAGTAGCATTTCTTTTATAGTCAGGAAGAAGCATAAGTGAAGAGCTTCAGCCCACACCATTCTACACCCTGCAGAAGCAAAACCAGTGGTAAGCAATAAGCTAATTTCATGGAGAGAAGTCAACATTTCAGAGAGGCAGACATTACGTTTTAGTCAGACAGTCCTAATTGGAAAGACAAGAAGTAGTGAAAAAAAAAAAATCACAGTAGACAGAGTCCCCTCTTCAAAATAATTGGATAGCCAGACAGCTAAGTAGAGAGAAATGCTTCTCAGACACACACACTGACTATTTTTTTAGGCTAAATTATGTAGCGTTCTAAACATAGATTGTTTAGGATGATTGTCTGCACACCAGCTTCTTCATGGTCCCTGTAGAAAAACGGTGCCTGTCACAGACATCACATCAGACGATGACACAAAAGCGTCTGTTCAAAGCTTGGGCTAAAAACAAGGACTTTGCTCTTTTTAAAAAAAAGTCTCCTGTGTCCACTTAGAAAGGATTTGGCAGTTACACGCAAAGAATTAATCACCTATCCTACTGAACCAGAGTTTAGTTACCAAAATATCTACAGGAAGGGCTTCTCAGGCTGTTCATCTAAGGACAGCACTGAGTGACAGCAGGAGCTGATGATATTAAAACTCAAGAACCAATCATTTTTCTTTATTAGGACTCTTGTCCCCACCAAACAAGTCCTGTATATTTATGTGTGTGTCCTTGGAAGGTGCTGTGGAATCAGGGTGAGAATCACAAATGCCCAACTTACAGTTCATAAAGCCTATGTGTAAAACTCATAGCGAACTAACAGCTTGAACAATGTGAACTACCTGCAGGGCTCAGAATTATTCTGACAAAGACTGAAAGCTCTTTTACCAAGGATTTTCTTTCTAAGGAGGAAGTTGGTACAGCATACATTTATTCACTATGTACTTAGAAGGGATCTATTCATAAGAGAAGAAAAATAAAGACCTTTATGAATTAACCTTTGATTCTTGAGAACCTTGTAACTTCAGTGATGGGGAAAATTAAGTACAATTAATATTTAAGATGTATTCCTTCCATAGGGATTTTTACTAGTGATATATCGATTAACCTTGTTTTGTCCATTCATACAGTATGGTTCCTTTTCCAGGAGGATAGAAATCAATTGCAAACTCTTGCTATAGGAATTAATTAAGTTTTAAAACTGTATTCTGCTATCAAAATAAATGAACTAGTTTTTAAATAAACCAATTTTCAGTTGCTGGTTTCTAGACAAAGAGGACACATTCTTGGACACAGAGCGAAAGCATATTTTGCTACTTTGATCTACAGTATATGGTGTCTTATCTTTAATTTTATCAAACCAGATAAGAAATATTTTTATTTACATTTCTGAGCCAGTGTTTTTCAGCCTTTTTTAAGCAGGGTCATCCCTCTGTTATTCAAGTAGCGCTTTTCTCTGTGTCTGGTCCATGAAAATCAGAACAGTCTAGACAAGGTCACAAGGATTTCCTGCCCCCTCATTCTGGAAACATACCACTATTTTGTCTTTATTCCTTTAAAAAAC